GAAACAAAAGCTCTTAGTCATAAATAAGATATATAGGGAGACTGTTAATTTTATAAATCTTTTTATAGTGTATCATGAAATAAAATAGGTTCAATAAAGAAACCAAAATAGTTGTTCCATGGAGTGACAGGGGTGGGGGAGGTTTATTCCAAGCTGTGCAGAAGAAAATTTTTCTGGGTTAGATGATAACTGGAGAGTTCAAGTTTAAGAGGCCAGCCATGGCAGGGTGCTGCTTCTGGTGCCTCCTGCCTGAAATGGGAGAGGGAGGAGGGATGGAGACACAGGTGGACAACAAGTGATAGCCTGAGATTTTTAAGCGGGGAGCAGGGAGAAAACAGCAGAGACTCAAAGAGTAAGTGTTTTGATAAACAAGACTTTTAATCCAAGGACGTCTTCAAATGGGTTGAAAGGCCTATTGGTATTTCCCAAATCACAGAAGAAAGGTGTCCCTTTCTTTATGATAGGGGCCGATAGAGTTAATGGGAACTTCCTGAAATGTGCATGACTTTTGTAAACAAAACAGGGAGCTCCTTAGCTATACATTCACACATACACACATACACACACACACACACACACACACACACACAGAGAGAGAGAGAGAGAGAGAGAGAGAGAGAGAGTTCCAGTGGGACTAGGAGAAGACAGCTGAAGAAATAGGTCCTGAGTGCTGGGATAAAGTGGGGAAGATCATCTTTTAATTTCTAATTAGCATAAGTGGCTTGGCTAGCACAGCAGACACAGTCAGCCTGTCAGAGAAGCTTGCTTTAGAGTTAATCAAACAGCTTTAGCTTGGCAAAGCTGAGATCCTTGGCCACAAGCAGTTTGGAAGTTAACTCTTTCCTTTCCCAGTGATTTGTCCTGCTAAATGCTCTGACTATTAAGGCTGTTAAGAATATTGCTCTTTCTAGAACTTCTATTTTAACAAAAGAAAACGCGGACACTATAAGATTTACTCCCAATAATGAGTATGGAGTTTCCCAAAAAGTTTGCACAATCTGATACCAACATACTCTTACCTTCAGCTGGTACTCCATGTACCAGCTGATGCCATCATGACTGCTCTCTTACAGGTTGTTCACATTCCCACTATGATTGCTACAGCCAAGAAGCTAAAACTGCTGGGTGATGGTGGCACAGACCTTTAATCCTAGCTCTCCAGAGGTAGAGGCAGGAGGATCTCTGATTTTGAGGTTAGGCTGTTCTACAGAGTTGCAGGATGGCCAGGGATACACAGAGAAACTCTATCTTGAAACTCACCCCCCCCAAAAAAAAAGTTAAAACCATATTCATTGGTAGACACTAAACACGCATCCTCAAATGCCCCCATTGTTTTTGCACCCAGTTCATAGGCCTGTATTTATCTCCGACTAATACTATCCTTGTTCCACACTCTGAAAAGGATAAATGACTGCAAAAGTCTGCCTAAATGGACTTCTGTGACTTCTAACATTTTGTCTTGCACATATCTTCTATAAAACAGAATATTTGTGCTCCTCATAGTTGAGAGGCTAAAAAAATTGGTTTTTCCCCCAGAGTTCTTACCTCAGAAAAAAAAAAAAGTTTATGTAGTACCACCAAACAACCCATCAGATGAAAGAAAAGTATCCCCCTGGATTTATATGGATCAAAGCAAATGAGATTAGGACAACTGGAGGGCCAGCCCTACAAGTGACCTTAGATTGCCAGGCCAGCTCTCAAGCACCGGGGGCAGACAGCACCGTGAAGTAGACAGTCATTTCCCAAGGTCATGGATCAGGATCCGTCTACTTCCCTTCTTATAGTGTTCTTTGTAAAACCTTCCTAAAGATAAAGCTATTGCTTTATTATTATTATTATTATTATTATTATTATTATTATTATTATTATTATAAAGACAGAGTTTCTCTGTGTAGCCATGGCTATCCTGGAACTGCTCTTTATACCAAGCTGGCCTTGAACTCACAGATCTGCCTGCCTCTGCCTCCTGAGTACTGGTATTAATGGCGTGTGCCACCACTGCCCAGAAAGATAAAACTTTGAAACACTTTCCTTGTGCTTTTCTCTTTGTGGGTCAATCATTGATCCCCCTCATTGTAATGTCCAACACACACACACACACACACACACACACACACACACACACACCAGTCAGACTGGCCTCACCTTTCAAGTGCTGGGATTTCAGGTCTCTGTCACCATACTGAGCTTTGGTCTGCATTTCTTAAAACAAAAGATTCATCAGAAAAATGAGGTTAAACCATTTGTGACATAGTTGGTTTAATGGGATTTTGATGAAATGTGCTTAGATTTATTGTTTTCTGATTACTTAGTCTTATTCTAACTTACTCTTTTCTCTGCTTGAAGATTTATTGCCATTTGATTATTTGTCTGAGTTTCCTTTTCTCAGCTACCAACTTATATGTGAAACTTGTAGGGAAATTTGAGATAGGGCAAGTGACAGAGTCCAGAAACTAGGAACTCTGGCATGCTGAGTTTTTCTGTCTTTTTGTCTCTTTTTTTTTTTTTTTGAGAAAGGGTCTCTCTCTCTTTCTCTCTCTCTCTCTCTCTCTGTGTGTCTCTGTCTCTGTCTCTGCCTCTCTCCGTCTCTGTCTCTCTGTCTCTCTCTCTCATACTGGCTGTCCTGGAGCTCACTATGTACTCAAATTTGTGGTAATCTACCTGTCTATGCCTTCAGAGTACTGGGATCAAAAGCATTCACCATCATGCTTAGCTTATACTGTTTTTATTGTTGCTATTTATTTGTTTTGCTTTTCAATTGTTTTATTTACTTTACATTATTTTCCATGCAAATGTGCAAAACTGCACTGTTCACAGAAACTTACACAGAGTGGGAAGGCAGTCTCCAATTAGAACCTGACAACACAAGACTCATCTGGTACACGGAAATAACACAAGGCTCACCACAAACAGATCAGTAAAGGCATTTCAGGAAGATGCAAGGAAGAAGAATACAGTAGGAATCACTGTATGAATCTCATGGAAAATCATAGAAATCAAGGTATAAGGCAAAATTCTTCATGATGATCTTAGAGCTCCTCCTTAAGAACACAGTTTCTCAGTGTAACTCCTGAAGTTTTCTCCTGATTCTTCTCATCTTTTCCATCATAGCATCCATATTCTCTCCATCCATATATCATCTTAAATCTGCTGTTAGTTATGGCTTGTAGGAAGTTAGGGAAGTCGAGGAGCCTCTCCTCTCCTCTTGTTTCCTGTGGGCTGGTGGCCATCACCTCTTCCTGAAGAGCAGCCTCCTGTTCATTCTGCAGTAGTTACTTTATTTCTTCCTTTTCCTGTCCTATCCCCTGCCATGTCCTCCTCTTCTCAATTCTCTCTGCAACCCGTGCTACCAGCAGACATATTCCCCTCAGCCCGGTCTGATGCAAGCCTGCCATGCATAGGGTAGCACGGAGCTGGTGTTCAGATGCCAGTGATGACCGTACCCAAGGCTGTGTTGTTCTGCAGTCTTAGTTATGCTGGTTGTTTTGAGTAAAGGAATTAGAAGCAGATGTTGGGCAGGGCTTTACTCTTCTCTCCTCTAACCTGCCTAATGTCCTGAATCACAAAGGAAGAAAATAATTACCTCAGTTTTATTAAGAGTCACTTAGGGTAAGAAGCCTGTCAGCATCTTGAACAGACTTTTGGTACACACCATCATCATCTACTTCAGTCCCATCCTTTGCTCCAAAGAAAATAATTTTCAAACCATTTACAAACTGTTCTCTGGGTCCAATGGGCAATTACATGTTCTCCAAGCACACTGACTTCCACTAAAAACATTTACCATTCCCCAACATTCTGCATTTTTCTCCTCTCACACACACAAATTATATGGTTGAGGCTATTATTCAAATCCTGGAAGCCCTCCTGCCTCAGCCTCTTGAGTGGGGGAAACAAGCCCTGTGCCTCCAAGACCAACAAATAACAATAGCATTTAAAACTGTATGGAACTCATGAAATCACTTAGATACTTGTGTGAGGTAATTGACATCAAAAATACTCTTATGTTTCTCAAATTTCCTTGCTATATTTACTGTAGTGTGCTTGACAATGAGTTAATCTGTTGACATTTTAGTCTGAATCAAGACTGTGAAAAACTAATTAAGAGTTACTACTTTCTTCACCATCACTACTTACTAGTAGAATATAAGGGCAGTCTCACTTATTAAAAGTCTTTTTAAAGTCAAAATATCAAGGGACTGAAGAGATGGTTCAGTGGTTCAGAGTGCTTACTGCTGCTCTTGTAGATGACCCAGTTCAGTTTCTAGCACCCAGCTCACAAACACCTGCAATTCCAGTTCTAGGGAATCTGACTCCCTCTTCTGACTTCCATCACATCCTCGCACATGTTGCATACTTTCGCACAAATTTACACACACACACACACACACACACACACACACACACACACACCAACATTTTTTTCTTTTAAATGTCAGAGTATATAACTTAAACTAACCTTAAACTCATGTCAAACCTCTTGCTCAGCACAGCCTCCTAAGCACTGGGATTACAGATGTCAGCCACCGTGAGCAGTTTTTTTTTTTTTTTAAACACGGTAAGTGTCATCGATTTGACCTACATAAAACTTTAAGATACTTAACAATGTACAAACCCAAAGAAGAGATCCTGAAACCAAAACATTCAGAATCTCAGCATTCCTCCTGATCAGAGAGATCAGGTATGACTAAGAGCACCAATTACAGGAGGAAGAGATCTCCGTAAGTTCCTGGTCTGAGGTTTTGCCTTGAAGGTGTTTGAGGTAGGGAAGTCACGGGTTCGGAATTCCCTCATTGCCTCTGAATTTCTTTCTGTAGCCTTCAACCCGTGTCAGCTGTCCTGTCCTTCCTTCTGGACACATGTTCTCACTCACACAGCAAGTCGGGGTTCTGGAGAAAGGAACTCACAGTCACGGTGGTATCTCCTCACAAACCACCACGCTATAAACTCCACAGAGAGGAACAAAGTCTCAAACCCTGCAGGTTTTCTAGACACCAAGGATGGGGGCTGCAGCTCCGAGTCCCACCCTCCTGCTGCTCTCAGTACTCCAGACTCTGATCCAGACCGAGATCCAGAGAGGCGCTGGTGAGTGTGGGTCAGAAAGGAAAGGGCCTCTGCCTGGAGGAGCCAGCTTTCCTGGCCCTGGCAGCATCCCAAAAGTCATTTTCCATCACTCATCCAGACCCTTCCGCCCTTCTTCATCAGCATTGCGAGCCCTGCGCCTTGATCCCTTTTTGGTCCGTGCCCCTGCCCAGGTACCGGGAGGAGGGTCGTAGTCTCACTGAGCGCCGTCCCCAGGTTCACACTCGCTGAGTTATTTAGTGACCGCGACCGCGACCGCGACCGCGTCTGCAACGGGTCTCCGAGATCCCCAAGCCTTCGTGGCTGGCTATGTGGACGACACGCAAATCCTGCTCTTCGACAGCCACTTGACTACTAAGATGGAGGCTCGAGTACCATGGGCAAAGCAGATGGGGCCGGATTATTGGGAGCAGGAGAGGATACTTTTGGAAATTTATTCACGCACGGCCCAAGAAAGCCTGCTATTTGCAATCCGAATCTATAACCAGAGCGATGACGGTGAGTGACCCCTACATGTCCTCACGGACTGGCTCGAGTTGCCCCAGGTTCCAGGTTCTAGGTTTGGTCCGAGGCTGAGGAGCCCGCAGAGACCCTGGACCCGGGAGAGCATCGGACTGAGACCCGGTTTCCATTTGAGTTCAGGTGGAAATTCTGTGGGTGGGCTGAACCCTGTAGAGGGAACTGACTTTGGGGGCGGCTCCAGTCTCTCATACCTTCCAGTGTTTCATTGGCTGTGAAGTGGGTCCAGATCAACACTTCCTCCGTGGGCACTACAGTCATGCCTTTAATGGTCGTGATTACATCAGCCTGAACGAGGACATGAGAACTTGGACTGCTGCAGACAAGACGGCTCAGATCGCAGTGCGAAGGTGGGAGGCGAAACATTTAGCAGAGCACTGGAGGATCTTCGCTCAGGGCCAGTGCATTGCTTGGCTACTCAGGCATCTGGAGCTAGGGAAGGAGATTCTGCAGCGCTCAGGTAGGAGGGATTGAGAAGCCATTCCTCCATCTGAGCCCAGAGTAGGGCAATGCCTCCAAGGAGGGAGGAAATTGGGATCATCTGAAATACTGTAATTCTCTTTTGTATCCGGAGGGGAAGGAGTGCTACTGGTTTTCCTGACCCAAAGTCAGAGAGTGACTCTCCCAGGACTCGCCCTTCTCTCAGGACAGATTAGGGACTCTTAATAGTATAGGAGAGAAGATCCCTGAAATAACCACCAGCAGCCTAGTTCAGTCTGGAGCCCTTTGTAAATCATGGTCTCTCATAGGCTTAGTTCTCGACCCACATGTAATGTCTTTTGAGGTCTCACCGATGAGGCTCTCACTCTATAAGTTAGAACCAGAAATACTCTTTTCATGGTGGGAAACTTGGGAATCTTTCTTTTCCAAGGAATAGATTATACTAATGCCTGAGTATAAGACAACTTGTGTGGGGTTTGCATGGCCCCAGACCACCACCCCTCCACATCTTGATTCTCTTGTACATTGGCAAGATAGACTCACAAATACTGCTTAAGTTCCCCCCTCCAATTATAAAATGTTGAATTTTCCAATTCTTCTTCTCAGACCCTCCAAAGGCACATGTAACCCATCACCCTAGACCTGAAGGAGATGTCACCTTGAGGTGCTGGGCCCTTGAATTCTACCCAGCTGAGATAACCCTGACCTGGCAGAGGGATGGGGAAGACCAGACCCAGGACATGGAGCTGGTGGACACCAGGCCTGCAGGGGATGGAACCTTCCAGAAGTGGGCAGCTGTGGTGGTACCTACTGGGGAGGAGCAGAGATATACATGTCATGTGCAACATGAGGGGCTGCCTGAGCCTCTGACCCTGAAATGGGGTAAGGAGGGGTGTGAGCCCAAAACCTGATGTCAAGGAAAGAAGGTGACCTTCTGGAGACCCTAAGTAGAATCAGTGCTGAATTGGGAGTTAGGGCCCCTCAGTTTATTCTCTCTTTCCAGAGACACCTCCTTGGTCCCCAACTGGAGTGATATTTGGTGTGGTTCTCCTTGGAGTTGTGGTCCCTGTAGCTGTGGTTGCCATTGTGATGCTGAGGAAGAAAAGCACAGGTAGGGAGGGTATTGGTGTCTGAGGGTTTTCTGTAGAGATGAAGCCATGGGTGGAAATGTGCTCACCTCCTGTCTTGTTGCTGTGAGACACACCCATGTGTGACTGCTTGCCTAACCTGGAACTCAGTGTATTGGCATATTTTGTTTTTTGCTTGTTTGTTTGCTTGCTTGCTTGTTTTGAGACAAGATGTCTTCACATAGCCCTGGCTGTCCTGGAACCTACTATGTGAACCAGGCTGGTCTCAAACTCAGAGATCCACTTGCCTCTGCTTCCCAAGTGCTAGGATTAAAGTTGTGTGTCATGATGCCCAGCTATGTTGTCACTTTTCAAAGTCCAGGGCTTCAAGGATGGTAGAACATCATTATCCTGGATATCTATCAGTCTTGATAATTTCCCTTGATGTAATTGCTCAGATAATTTTCCAGGACTCTACTGTAGCAAGGAGGAGGAGCTGTTTGTTGGTTACTGGCAGCCCAGAAGTGAAATAATCACACAGAGACTATACTATTTAAATCACTGCTCGGACAATTAGCTCTATCTTCTTATTGACTAACTCTTACATATTAATTTAACCCATCTCCATTAATCTGTGCATCACCACGAGGTCATGGCCTACCTGCAAACTTTCAGTGCATCTGTCTCAGGTGGTGACTCCATGGCTTCTCTCTTACTCCACCCTTCCCTCTCCCAACATTCAATTCAGTTTTTCCACCTAACTAAATTCTTCCCTGCTATAGTTCCAAAGCAGTTCTTCATTCATTAATGGTAATCACCGCATACAGGTGGAAATCACACATCACTCTACTTTCATCATTGTATTTCCACCTTTTACCATTTTGTCACTGTTCTACACATTAAAGAAACACCTAGTAAGCATACAGAAAGGAAAGAGAGAACAAGTCCCTCAGTCACTCTCCCTTTCCCAAGCATTCCTGCAGCAGGGCACCACAGTCCTCCTCAGCTCCCCCAGCTGAATGAGCACATGGTGAGAAGGAAAAGCTGGGACTGCAGGAATGAACTGGGCTGGGGTAACACTGCACATCCAGTTCCCAGAGTAGCAGGAAAGCTGTCCACAGAGACCAGCTCCAGGGCCTCAGTGATTCCTGTGCTCAGAGGATCCCTGTGGGACCTGATGTTGATGGACTTGTCAGTTCTGTTCCTGGCTGTGAAGCCTTGAATTTGGTTCATTGGCTTTTTCCAAAATAAAATAATCACCAACCCTCCAATACCACATATTAAATTCCTTTGTTTTTAAATGACAATAGTTTGGATTCTATTATTTATCCCTAAAAGTAAGAAATTAGTCTAGGGAATTTTCAAATATCAGCCAGTCAGAGTCTCTATATACTTGCTTTCTGTATTTTCTATCTGAGACCACATCTCATGGGAGACAAAACAGTACATATCTGTTAACATGCCAACTTAGAACTAATAATGCATAATCTCACTTTTCTTTCTCAATCCCTTCCCCAAATGGAATGCCCACATAAAACCCTTTTCCATCATGGATGTTGTTCTCACCACTAACATCAGTGACCATAAATCTTCTTCCATAATACTCAGAATCTTCCCAGATCCCTTATTTACATTGCTCAGTATGTAGCCCAGGACTCACTCTTCCTTTTTCTGTTTCTCTGTTAACAGCATATCACACTGTATCCAATACTGGCCTAGAACTCACTAAGTAGCTGTGATGGCCAATCTTCAGTGTCAGCTTGACTGGATTTAGAATCTCCTAGGAGATCCAATTCTGATCACATCTGTAACAGTGTTTCCAGAGATTGAGGATGGAAGATCCAACCTCAGGAACAAGGATAAGAGGAAGAACAGGAGAAAAATAGATGAGAGGATCCCTACACTCTACTTCTTGGTCTACTAAAGTTTGCAGAATCCCAGCCACATGCTCCTGCTGCCCTGTACTCCATAATGCCTTATGCTGAGAGTGACTGTGCCCTCTTTAACCATGAATCAGAATAAACCTTTCATCCTTTAAGTTGGTTTGCTGAGTAGTTTGTCACACAATTTAAAAAAGTAATAAATAAAAATCCATATGGGCTTTGAAATAGCTGTAATTAATCCTCTTTTCCCTTCTTGCAGTGTTAGAATTACATATATGAGCCACAATACCTGGCAGCAGGAAATTCTATGTAACCTGCTGCTAGTGAGGCCGATGCCCAGCCTGGGAGCGCCTGTCTACATCCTTGCAGCTCCATGATCTGAGTAACAGCTGCCTCTGCACAAACCTTGTTATAAATACAGAGATTCTTGGCTCTCCACCAGACTTCCAAAGTCTTTTGTTTTTGTTTGGGGGTTTTGTTTTGATGTTTTGTTTGTTGAAACAGTCTCAATACGTGGCCTTGACTGGCCTGAAACTTGCTATACTTGTAGACCAGGCTGGTCTTGAACTCAGAGAGGTCCTAGGAGAGGAGGCACTGATCTCTGCCCAGAGTGCTGAGATTAGAAACCTGTGTCATCAAGCCTGACCTTTCCTTGTTGCGAAGTCCAGGGGATTCCTGTGCACAGGTAAGTCTGGGAATCTCTGATCTTTGGGCCTTCTAGACACAAGCCCAGAGCTGCACAGTCTACTCAAGGTGTGTGCTCTAATGAGATCACTGTGTACTGAGTGGACAGGGTCAGTCCTGTTCTGTTTCTCACCTACTACTAACATTCCTTTGGTGATTTTATTCAACTCTGAGGTTTGAAATACCATTTAAGATCACCCCCCAAATAAGTTTCTCCAGCCCAGGCATGAACATCTCTAGGCTCATCTGTCCCTGTCAGTCTGGCTACTTTGTGTGCATTTCCTTGTCTGCAAACGGCAAATCTACTCTGATGCCTGTGTAGTCCTGAAGTTTTGTTATCACCTTCCTTCTTTCTGTAATCCAGATTAATTCCAGTAGGAAATATTGTAATGTCCATGTTTTAAATGAACCCAAAATTCAATTTCTTTGCACTGTTTTCTCTTGCTCACACCTTGAGGAAAAGCAACTTGTGCCCTTTGCCTGAACTACTAAATGCATTTCAAATTCCTTCCTCTGTTGTCTTGCTTACTTCTAATGAACTCATTCAGTTTCTCAACCAGAATGATTTTGTTTGTTTTTGCAACACAGTCCATGAAGCTGGACTTGTCTTTTCATGAGTCTACTTCCCAGTTCATGGGCTTCCAGGTATGCACCACAACACCTGGCTCTTGGTTTTGCTGTTTTTAAATTAATTGTGTATTATAAGCATTAATCCTGTTTTAGATTTATAGCTGGTTTATATTTTCTCTCTTTCCTTAGATTGTTTTTACACCCTCTAATTGTTTCCTCTGCAGGGCAGAAGCTTTTCATTTCAGGCAACCCATTTGTCAGCTCTTGTTATTGTTTCTTGAGTCATAAATCCTTTCAGACCATCCTGACAGACAGTCTGTGCATCTATCAAAAGGGTTTTCCTCTAGCAGATTTCAGAGTTTTGTGTCACATTTAAGGTCTTTGAGATTAATTTTCTACAGGATCAGAGATAGAGATGTAATTTTGTTCTTCTACATGGGGATATAAAGTTTTCCCAACACCAATTGCTGAATGGATTTGTGTTTTTTCCCCAATGACTGCTTTAGGCATTGTGGTTGAAAATAAAATAACAGTATATAAGGGGTTTTGTGGTATCAGAGGGCCAAGGAATGCCATAAAAATCACACAGACTTCACACAATGGGTTTATTGGGAGGAGGGGAGGCTGCCTCTGAGTGGGGATGTGAGAGACAGGCAGGGAGGAGAGAGAGGGAGTAGAGGGTGGAGGGAGGGAGGGAGGAAGGGAAGGAGGGAGGGAAAGAGGAAGGGAAGGAGAGAGGGAGAGGGGAGAGAAAATGGGAAGGGTGATGGCCAAGTCTTTACAGTGGGTATGGAACATGAGCATACGGGACCTTGGCTCAGGGGAAATGTGTCCCATTGTGATGACAGGGATGCTGGCCCTGAGTCCTAGAAGACTGGTTTGGGATGGGGAAACATCTGCTTCTGGAATGTGGGTTATTCTAACACTGTAACTATAGATTATATCTGAGTCTATTCTGTCCCATTGGTCTGTGTCTATTTCAGTGCCAGTACCACACCTTTTTGCTTCTTCTTCTGTAAAACCATGTCTCTGTAACAGAATTTGATACAGTATTTTAACTCTTCTAGTATTTCTCTTCCAGCTAAGTATGACTTTGACTACTAGCAGTTTTTTCTGAATCCATATAAATTTAGTATTTTTTTTTAGTTCTTCAAAGAATGCCATTGGAAATTGCATTGAATTTCTAGATTTATTTTAGCAATATTAATTTTGTCTATTCATGAGCATAGTAGATCTTTATATTCTAGTATCTTATCTTTCTTTCTTTTTAATTGTTTGGTTAGTTTAAGTTTTTGAGGTAAGTTCTCACTACGTAAACCAGGCTAGCTCCAAAGTTGCTGCAATCCCCTTTCTTCTGTCTGCTGAGCATTGGATTACAGACATAAGTCATCATACCCTGTCTTATTTAGTGTATTATTTAGTAACTTATTTATTGTAGATGTCTTTAACCTCCTCGTGTATATTCCTAGGTATCTAATTGTTTTGTTCTGTTTCTGAAACCATTATGTCTGGGACTGTTTTTCTGTATTTCTCACCATGTTTGTTGTTGGTATATTGAAAAGCTGTTGGCTTTTGTATGGGCCTTTACATCCTGTTATTTTGTTGACATTATTTTATTTTATTTTTAAAACCTATGTTTATTTTAGGTTTATTTATTATGTATACAACATACACAACATTCTGCCTCCATGTATGCCCACACGCCAGAGGAGGGCGCCAGATCTCATTACAGAGGGTTGTGAGCCACCATGTGGTTGCTGGGAATTGAACTCAGGACCTCTGGAAGAGCAGCCAGTGCTCTTAACCACTGAGCCATCTCTCCAGCCCCTGTTGACATTATTTTAGATTTCAAACACAGGATCATATCACTGACAAATAAAGATCATTTAACTTCTTGTTTTATGTCTGGTTTCCCTTTCCTTTCTTTCTCTTGCTTTATTATTCTTAAGACATCAAAAACTATATTAAACAGTAGAGAAAATGGACAACCTTTGTCGCATCTTAATTTTAGAGGAAATGCTGTTTCCCCATTTGGTATAATGCTGACTAGAACTTTCTTATATATGGCATTTATTGTGTTTGTGTTGAAATACATTCCTTTTATCCCTAGTTTCTTCAGGGTTTAAATTTATCCTAAAAGATGTTGAACTTTGTTGAAGACCCTTTCTCAATATGTTGAGGTGACCTCATGATTTCTGTCCTTGCAGCTACTTAGGTGCCACATCACAGTTATTGACTGAATATATTGAGTCATTCTTTTTTTTAATTTTTTTTAATTTTTTTTTATTTTTTTTGAGTCATTCTTAAATCCTTGGAATAATATCAATTTGGTCATGGTATACGATATCTTAATGTGTTGTAGACTTATGCTTGCAAGTGTAGTATTGAAAATGTCCACATCCAAGTTCATCATGGAAATTGACCTATAATTTTGTTCTGTGTCTTTACCCAGTTTTGATATCAGGATAATTGTGGTCTTAAAAATGCTTTTGATAGTACTGCTTCCCGTTCTATTTTATGAGATGATTTGAGATACACTGATGTTAGTTCATATCTGAGTCCTTATGTCCTTGTATTTTTACACAGTTCTCATTTTATCATTATCAGGTGTGAAACTGTCCCACAGCCATCAGTCACATTTACACTAGATTTGGAGACTGGTGGGAAAGGAACACACCGATTCTTTGTTACAGAAAAAAATCCACCTCTTTTTGAGGCAGCCACTAAATAGCCAGAAGTTCACCCACGGGACTAGGTGGGCTGGCCGTGAGCCTGAGGGACCCACTATCTCCACAGTGTCACACTCTCCACAGTGCTGGACTACAAGCCATACCTCATGGGCTCTGGGGGTCGATCTCAGAATCTCATGCCTGCACGATAAGCACACTACCAATTCCCTGGACCACAGTAAACAACAGAGTCTCAGTGTGTAGCTCTAGCTGTCCTGAACTCACTATGTAGACCAGGCTGCCCTTGAACTCACAGAGATCCTCTGCCTCCGTCTCCTGAGTGCTCAGAATAAAGGTATATGTCATCACAGCCAGTTTATAGTAAATAGCTATTAACAGACATGTATTAGGCTACTTTTAGGATGCATTCAACTTGGAAACTTTGTCCTTGTCTTTACTGAACTGAATTACGAAGTCCTCTGCTTCTTGAATCCTCATTATGCTCTGTGCTGCCGTCACTCTCTCTTCCTCCCTTTCCTCCTCCCTTACCTCTTCCCTCAATCACTTCTTTCCTTCCTTCTTTCTTTTTCTGCATTTTTTTTTGAGGCCTGGGGACTGAAACAAGGACTTCCTTTCAAAGGCATGCACTTTACCACTAACTATATCACTAACTTGTTCCTTTCTATTCCTCTCCTTTTTTTTATGCATGTTTCAGACAGGACCTCATACACCCAGGCTGAGCTAGAGCCTACTATATGGTGAAGATTGGTGTTTAAACTTGCAATCCTTTTGTCTCAGTCAACTAGGGACTGGAATTAGAGTTATGTGCCACCAAACAAATTATATTTACTAAATTAGGCTAATTACATTTACTTACAAATAAAGGTGTCATTGTGATAGTTTAAAGGAAAAAATGAGGAAACCAGCACACTGGATCACATTGGTAATCCCACCTACTAGGGAGGGAGGTTGAAGTAGGGAGATCATAAATTTGAGGCAATTAGGTAAGTCAGTGAGATGGTCTCAAAAAAAAAGTATATTAGGGATGTGGCTCAGTGGTAGAGCACTTCCTGTCACAGACCAGTGTGGGGGTCGTCATTCCACGCCAACCACCTCCCACGAGTTCTATATTTTGTAGGGGTTAAAACACAAGACACACACACACAGATACAGAGTTCAAGTCATCCTCAAGAAGAGAATGCCCAATTTATTTAACTTAATCCAGAGTTAAA